AATAAAATATTTGGGGAAAAATAGTGTATTGTGTGCAGCATAACAATCATAAAGACATTGTAATTATTTCACCTAAAACAATATTTGGGGATTTTTTGGGCCAATCCATTGTTGTAACCAAACTGTACAAACAAATTTTAATACATTGTTCTAGCGTGAGAATATCTTTTAAAAACCAAATAACGTAGTCAACGCACCATAACAGGTGCTAAATTACGGCATATAACATTAAAATCAAATTATTATAAAAAACCTTAGCTTTCAGAGACTTTTTCCTGCTACTTCTATTTTTAGTATTGAGGTAATTACAGGGACACAAGGACGGGCAGCAAAAGTTATACCACCGGCATTGACGATCCGAGGCTGTCAATGAGCAGTTGAATAAAGGCATTTAGAGAATTTACAGCCATTTTGAAACTGCACAGTATTTAATGATTTTTATTTCCGACTATTTTATTCAGCAGTGCTGAGACTGTATTCAGTTGTTGTCATTTTTAGAATGTGTAATGACTATCATTGTTGATTGTTGGAACGTGGACAAAAATTAGGCAAGTGGACAGGTTTAAATAAACTGAACAAAAAATGCAAGGAATATGAAATGCTTTGTGTCCGCGTCTTTGAATTCGTCCAACACTTCGGATGTTTCAAAGATAAAGAGAACTGCTGATGTACTTTATTACTTTCTATTTTTATAATAAAGACAAATGACATCAGTTGAGTACTTAACTAGTTTATTTTAGGAGGAACGAAACATGAGAAAGTCATAAAAACAATAATAGAACAAAAACACCTAAATTTTCAATTGTTAGCCAAAAAAAACCGACGCGGCCATATTTTCCTTTAGAACATCTTTGTAGACCTCCTTGATTTCGTTTTACCTCTTTCAGTTTACTGTGGAGAATCTATCGTGAAAGACATGGTTCAAGCATGCGGACGAGGTGACCTGTCCAGCAAAGTTGTTGCTTAATGGTGAGGGCTTCCATGCTAGTTGTTTTAGCCTCGACAGGTATATGGTCTCAGTAATCCATATTTTACTTAGGATGTGGGTTTGGGCACTTAGTGTGGGGCCTCCTTGTTTAAAGAATTCAGCAGGAATGCCGTCAGCCACCAGCTGACTAATTGTTCTTTAGTTTTCTGATTGCCTTTTGAACCTCCTCTGGAAACCTCGCTGAGTTCTTGTATTGGTTTCTGTGGAATTTCGGTGAAGATGTCATCATTAATTTGTGTTTCTCTGTTAAGTAGTTCCTGAAAGTGTTCCTTCCAACAAGAATTAATGGAAGAACTGTCTTTGAGTAGTCTTGTGCCATATTTGGATCGTAAAGGATTGAGCCATTGAGTGGTTGGTCCGTATACCATCTCAGTAGCCTGGAAGAAGGCCCTGGTGCTGTTGTATTTGTGTGTGTAGAGCTGCTATCCTCCTCCTAATTGTGCGTTAGCTGGTTTTATTTGTCTGTGAGATTTCAGAATTTTAATAACGCCTAAGTAGTAATTATAAAAGAGAGAAAAATCAAAGTCAAAGTCTCACAAGTGTCCAGAATTTAATTCAAATGACGGTTACACGTGTTTCGCTCGTTAATGAGCATCATCAGACTTTAAATAATTTGACAAAATCACTATAAAAAAGTATATAAACTTGAAAGACTCCAAGCCTACCTTAAAAAATAAAAACTATATAAAACAAAGTACCAACACAGTTAAAAAAACTAACAGGTCCTCATTCAGAGAATGAGACATGGGTCACAGAAACAGCAGCGTTTGCCAACCATCTCTTATCATCAGGTCATGATTTCTCAATGTCGGAGAATGGTACCCTCTCACAGGAAGGTCCCAAGAGTGAAAAGTTAGATCTTCTTGAGAAAATAGAGATCGCGCGGGCCAAGAAAAGTCCTTTCAATTTTGAACTTTACCTTATTTTCAACAATCTCATTGACTATATCATTTGATGTGAACATAACCTCACTTCACATGTGTCAACCCTCTATTAGGTAATCCAATCCAGCTGTCAAAACAAAAATTCAATATGGCGTGGCGGCCAAGCAAGTTTGTTTTGAAATGTGTTTTCCAATGCAAATAAGTTTTTTTGCTTTGAGTTTTGCTTGCAAGTTTGACTTTAATTTCCAATAACATATCTGTTGACTAGGTACGTGACCTATGAAGTCGGGCAGAATATAGATATTTTTTGTGTTAAGTGTTAGTGTTGTAAAATGCCGGATAAGACAAGTGTCTGTTCGTTGTGGGATGTGGATGCCGCCGAGAAAGGGACATGCGTGTGTCTTTCTACAGGGTCCCAAGCATGTCCAGTTCAGTATATTTTCCCCACCTAAATGAACTATCAGGAAAAAGACAAATAGCAAGGTTAGCGGCAATCAAACGGAAAGATTTTTCAGACAGTCTTAAAGTAGCAGACCAAAGAGTTTGTAGTAAGCACCTTATCATAGGTAAAAAAACATGAGTGCTTTTTTGCATCATGTCTTTGATCATCATATGGTTTTATAATAGGAAAACCAAGTAAGTTAAAGGATGTGGATTGGATAATCCTGACTGGGCACCAAGTTCTTGCAAATATTGGCTCTACGTAATGATAATGTCAAAACTCCGAACAAACCTCCGAACAAACAGCAGACAGCACACGACTAAAAAATTGAGTTTGCCGCAGGTGTGGCCGCCACGCCAACTTGAATGTCACGTGGTTTAGATTGCCTAATACACAATTGGGAGATTTGTAGTTTTTAATATATATATTTTCTTTTATTTTAATTTGTTTCTGTGACCTATGTCTCGTCCTCTGAATGGGGACCTGTTAGTTTTTTAACTGTGTTATTGGTACTTTGTTTTATATAGTTTTTATTTCATAAGGTAGGCTTGGAATGTTTTAGGTTTATATACTTTTATATAGTTATTTTTTAAATTATTTCTGGTCTGATCATGCTCATTAACGAGCGAAACACACGTAACCGTCATTTGAATTAAATTCTGGACACTTGTGAGACTTTGACTTTGGATATTTTTCTCCCTTTTATATTTAATATTAGGTCTCTTTGAGAAGAATGGATGACAACTTTGGATTAAGTAGTAATTATTATAAAAATAAATTAGGCTTTGTTTAATCAAATCATGCATTAACATTTGTTAGGTAAGACATAAATTTGAATGAAAATTATTTAGAATCTAAAAATATCTACGTCAACATTGCATTATTATTTTATGATTTTACATGTAGACAATCCGGTGTGATAAATATTTTGTGATTTTTGAATCGAACGAAACTTGGCCTATTATCTGTATAAGTATGTTTAAGGTTATGTCATATTGTTTTCATACAAACCTTGTATAGAAAACAAAACAGACAATTCACAATGTTGCCAGGCGTTTATAAAGTATCTGTCTCCCTCCCTAGCGATCACATTTTTTTTCAAAACAATAGAAGTCCGAATTTTTATAAGATTGATCAATGAAACATCACGACGAAACCAGCACTATCACAACCGGGATCACAACACTTCGTTTAACTACAGCCAAGCTTATCTAATCTCAAAACTAATTCACAACTCACTGTTTTACTATCTATTCGTATTGGCTTGTTTAATTCTCTCGAATAAATTCATATACTTACTGAATTTGTATAGTTTTTGTTTTTACCAATGAGAAACCTTGGTACTTAATCATATGTATGATTATCACTGGCAAATTATTGGCAAAATCGTCTGAAGGTGGACACAATTCAGGATGTTAAATCGACCCTGGGGTGTCACCCTTATGGGGGTTGGGGTGTTGGAAACTAGTAGGGGAGTAGTTTGACTTCGCTTCAGATAACATTCTAGCAGAAGTGCCAAGATATTTTTTTGAAACATTTTTTCATTTCTCTTGCTGATTATTATTATTCGAATTTGTGCTAGTCAGTTACAATTCCCATGTTTTATTGATTGCCTTTGATTGAAGTTGAACGGATAAAACTGTGCAAAATACAAAAGCAACCATCTTTTTCTTATTTTATAAAATTCAATTGCTTCAAAACTTTGAAATCTAGAAAAGTTTTCTCCTTTCATGGAGAATAATGGATAATTCATGAGATTTCGACTTCCAGTTTGCGTTCTTCTCAATACTTTATTCCTGAATATTGATACATTAACGGTAAAGCAAATTAAGTACAAATGACCCAACCTTTGAAAGTACTAAATTACAAATCTAGGTAAAACGAAATTTAATTGCTTTGGTTTTTTTTGCGAGTAAGACAAACAATAATATTCTAATTAAAATCGTGTAGTTGATTCTCCAAAATTAATTTTAAAATTAATATTTTCTAAAATAATATTTTCACTATTAGCTCGCCGCCTCTAGTTGTTTATGCTTGCTTGTAAAGCACTGCTTGCGGGTTATATAAATGTTTTCTTCTAAGCGTATATTCTCCATTCTTTCGTCGGCAAACATGAGATAAATAGCGGATCAGATATGATAAATTGAGCGTTGCGTTACAAACCCATTTTACAATATAGCAAGCTTTTAAACCCTGACGTGTATAACTCTAAAATTTCTCTTATTCGCATTCCTCAGTCCATTTACCAGCATATTTTTCAGTCTTACTTAAAAATATACGCACGTAGTAGGTCTTCTTGTCTCATATACTTAATAATAGTTAATTTTTTTTCATGTATGTATGGATTTAATATTATGAGAAACATAATAATATTTTAAGTGGAGTTTTGGCACTGTGGATAACCTTAAAAAATTTAACATCATAATTTTAATTCAAGTGTATTGGAGCACGATTATGGACTGCCTTATCCATTTTAAATAGAAAACTCCTTGAAAGAAATGTTTGCCAAGGGCGTATTCAATAATAATAATAAAAAAGGTTGTGGAGTTTCGTAACCTAAAAGAAAACTTCGCTTCTCCCTGCTCTTTTGCGAGTTGGGAATTCTGTAAAACTTTTTTTTTCTGATTTTAAATATAACTTAGGCTTAGACTGGCTACATTGAGATCTAATATATATTTTTTTTCAGGTGCCTTGGACCATAAAATGGTGAGTGACAACAGCCATACTTCAGTTATTAAAACTGAGTAAGTAAACAAAATAATGATAATATCCATGGCTCTTAGTCAATTTTTTGCCCTCAAATGAACAAATTAAGGTATGGTAATGTGTGACAACACTGGAAGCAATTACGGCACAAGTGAAGCAGTCAGATGTTCAATAGGGTAGAGCATCAACACAATGCGCGTAAATCTAATTAGGGAATATGTAGTTAGGATTCGTTGTAGGGTAAGATTTAACGCGTTGATTGCTGGAAAAATATATGGTTCACGGAGCTAATTTCTCTCCATTCATAATAATTTGGAATCGATTTCATGTGAGTGTTTTCAATCGACGTCCAAAAAGGATTTGATATGTTCTTTTTAAATATTATTTCAAGCGTAACTATGACGCTTGTGTTTTGAAAGAGGCTTACGACATTTGAAAGGGGAAGCAAGTTAATTCAATATATACGTATTTGTTGGAATAATTGAAACTATGTTATTATTATGTTATTATTTGGAAGATATTTTATCTAATCTTTTTTCTGAATACAATAATATTATATGTGTTGGTGATTTCAATATTGATTTTTTGGATTTGAATTTAACTTGTGCTTCCCAGCTGAGAGATATTTTTTCAACCTTTGGTATGAATCAATTAATAAGCGAACCAATCAGGGTGTCCTCAACATCACTTTCTTTAATAGACCTAATTTTTACAAACAGAAGATATTGCGGAGACGTGTTACTGATGCGGGGATTGCAGACCATTTTTTGATTTCTGCACGAGTGGGTTTGGGTGAAATTGCAGATCAGTCAACTTTATTTTTTTATAGATCTCTTAGGAAAATAAATTATAATGATTTTCAAAGAGATTTGGAACAGCTGCCTTGGCAAGAAATTTTCCGTATTCCAGATATTAATTGTAAAATTGATTTCCTAAATGAATGTATTCTAAAACTCTTCAATAAGCACGCGCCAGTTAAACAGTTCAGAAAAAATAAAAATTACTCATACACACCTTGGATTACCGATAATGTAAAACTTTTGCAGAAGTTAAGAAACAAAGCTCTCAAAAAATTTAAGGAAACAAAGCGCCCATGTCACTACGATTACTACAAACAACTTAGAAACTATACAACATCAGCTATTCGGGCAGAAAAAAAAGCGTATTTTCGGTATAAATTTCAGAATACCGATATCAGGGGTAAATGGGCAGAGTTGAAAAAATATAACTTGGTTCAAGTGAAACACAGTTTTAATCTTCCCCAACATTTAAGTAACCCTGATGAACCTGATGATTATTTTGTAAATTCAATTGCAAATAATGACAAACCTGGTCAAGATCTCCTAAGTTTCTACAAAAGTAACCGAATTGGTAGGGTCGATCAGGAGTTTAGTTTCAACCTGTCGACGGAGGAAGAAATTTTTAAAATTATTCGAAACATTAAATCTAAGGCTATCGGTAGTGATCAGCTGAATATTACTCTTATTCAGCTGTGCTGTCCATTTATTTTACCTTTCATTACACATATTATTAACGATTGTATTCTAAATTCCTATTCGAGAGTATTTAAATTTATATAATATTTTGCCTCCCAAGCAGTTAGGTTTTCGACCAATTCACAGCTGTGAGAGTGCACTAGCTGATATCACTGACGACATTTTTAGGGCATCGGATGAAAATAAGGTCAGTGCTTTGGTACTCCTGGATTTTAGTAAGGCTTTTGATGTTCTCAATCATGAAATACTTGTCTCAATTCTTCACTTTATTGGTTTTGGTGATGCTTCTGTCCAGTTTCTAAGTTCTTTTTTGTCAGATCGTGTACAACAGATTGTCGTTAATTATAATTATTCTAACCCCTTGAACCTCGCAATGGGTGTACCCAGGGTAGCATTCTTGGCCCTTTGTTGTATACAATTTTTACTTCAAATTTTTTAAATTCACTCACTTATTGTAGCTATCATTTTTATGCCGACGATACACAAATACTATTTTCTTTTCTCGATGATGAACTGGTTGACTCTGAGGATAAAATCAATTCTGATTTAAATAGTTTCTATGCCACTGCTTCAGATCATTTACTGAGACTCAACCCCAATAAATCGTCGGTAATATTATTTGGTAACGATACTCAAATAAGTAGGGTTAAAAGTAATATGGTGATTAAACTGAATAATGTGGCAGTACCTTACTCTGACTCCTGCAAGAGTCTGGGTTTAGTGTTGGATTCAAGATTGCGCTTTAAGGATCATGTGATCTCAAAATTAAGGGTTGCTTATAGTAATCTTAAAGTCATTTATAGTAATAGACACTGCCTTTCCCAAGATATTAGAAAGCTACTCTGTGAGGCTTTGGCCCTTTCACAATTTAATCACTGTAGTGGTGTTTATGGCCCTTGTCTTGATGCTGTTGATAGATACAGAGTCCAAAAAGTGCAAAACTCTTGTTTACGTTTAATCTATGGTGTTAAAAGGAGAAATCATATTTCACCCTACTTGGCTGAGTCCGGGTGGCTCAATATGATCAATCGTTTTAAGTTGCACCGGGGTAAGTTTTATTATCAATTGATTAAAAGTAAATCCCCTTAATACCTGTACAGAAGAATTACATTTCGCACTGATGTGCACAACTTAAATTTAAGAAGAAGAAATGTGATCCGAATACCACAGCACCGAAAAGAACAATATAAACGTTCATTTTCTTATAATATAGCTACTTTGATAAACTCGCTGGACTTTGTTGATTGGCGCTGGTTGGAAAGCATTTCAAATCACGTTTGCTTCTAAATCAGTGATGTCTCGCTCTCTGGTGGAAAGTTAACCATGTTTTAGTTTTTTCCTTATTCTTCTCCCATTGTCATTCTAATCCTCTCCTTTTCCTCTTCCTGTTTACTTATGTATGTTTTTTATTCTTTAATTTTTTTCATATAAGATGTAAATCGAACGCACAAAATTGTCTTCTATTTCTGTTCTTTGGTTCAAAATTATTTATCTAAAATAGGGCCTGAACAGTATCTGAATCATTCAGATGTCTGCGTTTTTTTCTAGTGCCCATTGTCAACCATATGTATATTTTAATATTATTATGTAAAAACTGATTGTAAATTTTTTTTTTTTTTGTTTTGACAATAAAAGTATAATTATTATTATTATTATTATTATGTAGTTCTATTTTATTCGATTAAAAATTACTTTCTTATAAGAACAAATTCAAGTGAGGTGTTTCTTAATGCCTGCCGAGAAATGGCAACGCTGGGAATACATTTCTGCAAGATACTGATATGCATATTGTCACGGATTCCGCGTTCACTTAAAACTCACTTCACAAACAGTTACAACTATTCACTTATCACTTATCGAAACATATACGACAAACATCAAATTAAAACTGAATTACTCCTAATACTACCACTACCACGCGCTATTTATAGTGTACTCGGAATTTATCTAGAAAAACCCGACGCCCCACTTGAAAAGAATTATGATTCAGACGCACCACCTCCTCTTCTTCGTCTATCTCCACTCAAATCCATAATGATTTAACCTATTCTTTTGCCTAACATCTCTATGTCTGTCTAAGTGGACTGCGACCTGAACGCAGCGCCTTAGACCGCTCGGCCTTCCTGACTTCCCAGATCTACCCTCATGTATGCATTCCCTTGGATTGACGTCATGGATACTAGACGAATGGCTAGTTGGTCCTGTTCCTTGATGATAACGATGCTTTCAATTGCCTTTCTTGCGCTTTTGTGGATGGTCGCAGCACTCGTAGCACTTCTCTCCATGCAAATTCGCAGGGCGGCCGTTTGAAGGATAACTTTGACCTTTCAGATTAGCATTAGTCGTAATCGACCAATCTTCTTGTTCCTCGTTTTTCTTTTTCGCTTGGCAGATTTTTCTCTAGTACATTTCATCCGTATTCCCGGCTTCCCTAATCTCGAAAAATAATTTGAGGTCGAGGTCACTCTCTTCCAGTTGTTCACTTCCCAGCTGCTCAGGACTCCGTTCTTGATCCGCATTATTCCGCATCCAATCGAAAAAATCTAACAGGAACTCTTTCTAGCTGAGCAATTCGGAAGCACTTCTTTTTTTGATCGGGGCATGCTCGGCGTTGCAAGTTCTCAATCGAAGGTTGACAGTCATTAGAAGGAGAGGGAGATCTCAGTTGCACTCTACAGTCACGTTTGAAATGTCCTCTTCTTCCGCAGCGGTAACATTCTTGTTCAAATTACTCATTGAAGGCTGGGAGCCATTAAAAAGAAAGCGAGATCTCAACCGTACTCTACAATCACGCTCAAAATGTCCCCTTCTTCCGAAGCGATAACATTTAATGGTCCCCTTTCAAATTTCCCAGTTTGATTCTGATAAAAGGCTTCCGTAATTCTTACAGAAATTCCTTTAATAGGGTGACGTTAATTTCTTCCATAGGCTCTTTTTCTTCACGAATCGATACAGCTCCCAGGAGCAGGCGAGGTAGAGACATTTCCTGACCTCAAGTCACATTCTAATTTTTTATTCTCTTCCAAGTTCCAACTTCCTGATAAACACTTTCAACTTTCTGATGAACACTCTCAACCTCTTCACGTACTACTTCCATTGCATTCGTGAATTTATTGTCTTGCACTTTCAGTCTAGTTTGTTCCTCAGAGATTATGGTTTGAAACCATTCTGGCTGAAATTTAAAGTTTTCATGATGCCGGTTCTGTTCTTCTAGTTTTTCTTTCTATCTTCGGTCTTCTTGTTTTTCTTTCTTTTTTTGGGGCTTCTTGTTGTTGTAAAAGTGCTGCAAGCCGGTCCTGTTCTTTCTGTCTTCATTATAATCCGGTAGTATAGCAAGTATAAAATAAAATGATTTCAAAAATTAGAATCGACTCAGCTACATTATAAAGTACTAATTAATTGCAGCTTGTAGTTGCTGAAATAAAATTGGAGGCCCCTTTAAACATTTTTGTTATTCGCTGTATCGTTATAATTTTCATTTTTTAAAAAATTTTATATAGTGCC